AAACATTTTTAAGCTCTGAAAAGCGCGCGCAAAATGCTACATTGCGCAGTACATATATTACTAAGTATTGTATACTTTCTGCCAAGTATACAATACTTGGCAGAAATGTGAACAACTAACATCATCTGTTTGCCCACATCTAAATAAACAATTAAATATCACAGAAAAGCCAAAGGGAAACCTTGAACGGGAAAGAGCGGGTTGCACAATTAAATAGACGGCAAAAATTCATCCCCGCGGAAATAGCGGGCTGCGCAAATTTTGCTACTTCTACGTTGCCCGTGGAAATCGCGGGTTGCGCAAATTTTGCTGCTTCTACGTTGCCCGTGGAAATCGCGGGTTGCGCAAATTTTGCTACTTCTACGTTGCCCGTGGAAATCGCGGGTTGCGCAAATTTTGCTGCTTCTACGTTGCCCGAGGAAATGGCGGGATGCGCAGCGAGACGGTTAAGTCGGAGTTCCACCGACTTCGTTAGAGAGCCAGAGATTCTGACTAGCGCGCGTTCGCCTCTTGGCTACATGCTTTTTAAGCTATTACTACGCTCGGACGTATCTCAGGCCGTTGATAGCTTCGTTAGCTTACTTGATATTTAGAGGGCAATTACTCAGAAATCTTGTTAGCTTCAGCTATATCTTTTTAGTTAAACTTTAGTTAAGTTTTACTTCTTATTACTTTAAGTTCAAGCCCAAGTGGGAGCTTTGCTGTACGCTCTGAAGGAGCTGTTTGTTAAGTTCTTATTTTGAGAAATAAAGGGTAATTAACCTTTCTTGAGTGTTACATTTCTGTTTTCTGAATTAAGCGATTATTCGCTTACCTATTCACGAGGTTCCTACACTTAGCTATTAGATGGAAGGTTGGATCCCCACAAGTTTTACATTCGATATTTACAGAAATAATTCCATTTATTTATCCCAATAACTTTCAAAGAGTGAAAAATTGAAAGGTAAACCACATGTCATACTTCAGAAAGTACCACTGCATTCCTTGAAAAAATGAAGACGTATACAGGTACCGCTTATCTTTTCAATGTATTCCTGAGAAGTTCCACGATATTTATTTTATGCAGAATTGTGTCTTTGATATCTTGAAAAGAGCTCTTTCTAAGCACAGCCCACACACGATTGATGGGGTCTGGAAAGTAATAGAAATCAGCACCACTGGAAACGTTACCGGATCTATCTATCATGGAAATCATGAAGCAGATTTATAGTTCAAAAAAGAAGCCATCGGATCGGATATTAAAAAATTTGTCTTCGAATTTTAAGCACTAATTAAACGGGGCAGAAAGCGTTATAAAAATAGGGAAACACGTTCTGCATTTAAATTTATACTCAACTAAAAGTGAAATATTACTTTATACAAAGGTTTATGATGTAAATATAATGCGTTGATAAAATATAAAACATTTTTAAATACGTAAGGAGCAAAATCATTATTTTACTGCTGTATTTCTATTATTTGACATTATTGTTCAATTCTGTCCATTGTTGCAGTTGCTCATGCGGAAGATTATAGAGTAGAGGAACGTCTCTCATCCTCAACCTACATTAACAATGGGCAGAATTGAACATTAAAATCAAATAATAGAAATTCTGGTGTAGGGATTGATTAACAGGACCATTTAACGTTAAATATCGTCCTGGTAGAGGAGTTACAATCTTTAACTGATACGTATGTCTATTTATTTGTTTTGCTACAAGAGCAATATAGTATTTAGAATTAGTTGGAGATCTTTCAACAAGGCAAACCGTCTGAAATTCACAGTGATTGCTCAACGAACTTTATAGGAGATAATAAAGAATTAAGGAAAGCCTTGCCTACTGTTCATCGTGATGAACAGCTACAGGGTTATATTTCATCGGAAAATATTCAGGGGTTATTTAATCCACCCTCTGCACCTCAATTTGGAGAGCTTTGGGAAGCGGTTATCAAGTTCCTGAAAGTCCATGAATAACCCAATTTGAATCCTGTCTTAATTCTAGGCCTTTGGTACCAGCTTCAAGTGATTGCAACTACCTGGAGGCGGTAACACCAGGACACTTTTTAACCGGAGCGGCTTTAAGCGCTGTTCCAGAACCTAACCAAATTCAAGAAACCATAAGCTGCAGTGATCGTTGGAGGAACGTGCAAAGGTTATTTCAGCATTTCTGGAAGAGATGGAGTAGTGAGTATTTATCTCTAGGTTGCAGCAGAAGACGCAAAGTGGTGCTAAGTTGCAGCAAGATGGTGAAGGTTGGTGATATGGTTCTCGTTAAGAACGAAAACCTACCTCCGCTACGTTGGAAATTAGGTAGAATTATTAAAGTGTATCCTGGTCTTGATGAGAAAGTTGGAGTGGTGAGTTTACACACTTCCAGTGGTAAAATAAAAAGACCTATAGCAAAGCTATGCGCTTTGCCATTTAATTCCTGATTTAGAAACTTTAATTTTTATTTTTCAGGTTTATTCAGTTCAACAAGTTAAATTTATTGTTTGAACCCATCTTGGGACTTCAAGGCTGGGGGTATGTTCGATGTAATAATGGCAAATTGTATTCCTTTCTTTGTACCAAAGAGGAGCCGCGCAGACGCAAATTTGTTATGCTTTTAAACCTCGCGTTTAGAGCTTTTAGATGGCTGTGATTTACTGGAGTTTCAACTAGGCAGAGGTTCTTCTGAGTTGCTTTGAGATCCGCGTCCCAATGTGTTCACCTCCTTCAATGTGGCCCACCAGCGGCCGAGCTGTAAAGTCGCTGAACACTGATAGTTCGGTCCGAGGTTCGAATCCCGCGAACGGGCTGTCTGCATGGGCGTTTTCGTGGTGCCCATGTGTAACGTGTATACGAGCCAGTTCCCTTAGAAAGTTCTCCACGAAGGCATCCCTCCCCTTAAGCAGATAGCCCTAGTGTGCTTTGCCGTAATTAAATAAACCAGACCAAACCACTCCTTCAATGTGTTCTCCACCGTTCCTCAGCCAACTTAATGTTTGAAGATCAATAAAGAAGTTCGGCCGACATGATGTCTGTCCAATTTCTAAAGTTCTACACTGAGGGGATATCAAGTCAATTTACAGTCCACTATTATTGAACGACGGAACATTTACTAACAGTTAACTTTTAGATAAAGCAGCTTTCCTTTCGAGTCTCGTTTTCACCCACGATTTCCTGCCAGAATATCAATAAGCTAGCGCGCGTGAAATCAAATGAGGTAGAAAGGGGCACTATTTAAGGGAAGGTTTTTGAAGGTGATTTGCCTGCTTGAAGGCCACGTTGAATGTTTTGAATTATTAGAGATTGGCGTTGAGTGCTTCTAGCCATTAGTCTTGATTTCCGACGATTTTACGAATCAGAGCCTTCCTGCGCGCTATATTATCCTGTGAGCCGCAAAGTTAGATTCACTATATTACATTTTAAGTTCATCGTTACCTGTTTTAAGTTAAGCCGGAAGGTCTGGCTTTAAGCAAGCCCAAGCAGGGTCATACGTGCAATTATATTGAATGAATAAAGGTCCCTTTACATCTTTCTTCTGACTTTCCGTTGTATTTAAAGACTTCGTACATTCTTTTAGAGGTCGTTAGTTTAAGCTCCCGAAAAGAACGCTACTCTGTACAATAATTTTGCATAATAGTTGCATAATATATTTGTATAATAATTCTGTGTAATAGTTGCAAAATATAATTATATAATAATTCTGTATAATAGTTGCATAATATAATTGTATAATAATTCTGTATAATGGTTGCATAATATAAGTGTATAATAATTCTGTATAAAAGTTGCAAAATATAATTATGTAATAATTCTGTATAATAGCTGCATAATATAATTGTATAATAATTCTGTATAATAGTTGCAAAATATAATTATATAATAATTCTGTATAACAGTTGCATAATATAATTGTATAATAATTCTGTATAACAGTTGCATAATATAATTGTATAGTTATTCTGTGTAATAACTCTGTATGATAATTGTAATAATTGTAGTTAAAAGTGGAAAACATTTCTTTTCCAGGAAGATTTTTGCATCACTATTAAAATATGATCCTAAAGTAATAAATATTCATGTAAATATTTTAAACTCACTTTAAGCACTTAAAAATCTTTAAATTGCCTGTAGGAAACTGTTTTTGGCAAGCCATATGTAACAAAATTTTGTTATGTTACTGATAGATCTTAAAGGGGAAAAAAAGTTAATCTGAAATTATTCTAACATAATTTTTATTCTAGACTTCAAGGAAATGCGACACGGCAAGTGAAAAATCTAAAAAAAAAAAAAAAAAAAAAAAAAAATCCAAATTTTGAAATTAAATATCTGGGCCAGTTTTGTTATACTGGAGTCAAACTTTTTCTGTCTTATATTTTTACAATGCGTATAAAAATTTATTTAAATGTATCTAAGGAACCAGAAGACCATATAAAAAATATATTGTATAATTTTTAAAAACTCAAGTATTGAAAGTAAAAATGCTAAAACGTAAATACTTGCTTCATTTAAAGTATTTTTATGTTTGGAAATATACAAATACGACTATCATTTACATAAATAAAGGTTGCACAAGGATTTTAATTTAGACGGTGTGTAAGGGAGTTGCTTCTAATTTCACACAACTCTTTTTCTGGAACCTACATGTGAGTAGCAGGAGTGCAACAACTCAACACAAGGAACGGCATTGCAGTGAGACGAGAGATGGACGATGGAAGCGAAAGAGAACAGTCATGTTTTCGACTAAGACGTATAATAGATGGCGAAGCGGTTAACTTCTCAATTATAACTCTTTTTTCATTTGTAAATACTCATCACCGTATCTCCATCAATAACTAAATAAATACTTAGTCACCTAAATGTGTGTCATCAGCGTAGAAATCCCTTAGACGCCGAGTTTACATACATTTACACTTATCAGATCAATTCATTAAACCAAGTTAAAAAGTTCATTTGCTTCAAGTTTATGAAAATATCATAAATTTCATATTATTTACGAAAAAGGTGAAGTTTAAACACTTTCAAGGATACTCACCGCATCTGCTTCTTCCAGACGACTAACATTTTGGGATATAAGAAAGGCAAGATTGAGGAACAGCTGAAGATGGTTAGGCGTCACAGTTGCCACTACAGATCGAGGAAATAATTTCTTTGCCTGAAAGAATTGAAGACGTTTTAGCATAATTATGCATTACTCATAATTCTTATTTAACTTGTGAAATAGTTAGATGCATTTCAAACAAATCAATGGGAAGTCATAGATTGTTGAAGATTAGTTATGAATTCCTTCTGCTTTCTTTTACGATGTTTGGTTCAAAAATTCGCTGACTCGAAGTAATTTATATATTGCATTTGGCATTGCTAAAGGCAACATTTTCTTCTTCGGCTCTTTTCATCTTTTCTCAAGATTCAACGGATAGTATCGCTTGGGGTATGCCCGGAATATTTGCCAACTATCCTTATTTCTCACTTACACCGGCAAATGTCGACATTCAGCATGCACTGACGGTGAATATTGAATAAAAATATTTTGGTACTATTCGGTTTCGAGGGCCGTAAAAAATCGCCAAACTATTGTTGATGGCAATGCTGCCAAAAGTAATTGCAGCAACCCTAACGCAAGAAAGGAAGTATAATGGTAAATAACTATTGATGTTTTAATTTAGATGAAAGGTTAATTTCATATAATATTTTGCTACCGATTATCGCTAAGCATAATTCATCTTGTTGTTTTCAAACATAATTTTCTATAATGAATGATGCCTTTCTTTGAAAACATTCTCGGTAAAATGCAGAATCGCCCATTTTGTTTGTCGCCTTTTACAAGGTAAAACAATTGGATTTTTGTCAATTTTCTTTTAAGTGAAAATAGTCAATGTGTACATAGATAAAGTCAAGGTTGTGCGCAGTGCCATTTTTGTGCAATTCTAGGATTTTCTTTAAGTAAAAATAGGTTGATGTGCACATGGATACGGAGTATGTGCAATTCTTAAAAACACATCAAGCGGTGGGTGATTCTGCCACTTTACCCAAAATTCTATTGCCAACTTTTCGTCATGGGCAATTCCAAAATTGTTAAATCCATAGGATGTCAAAAAAAGGATTTAAAAATTAAACAAGTATTTCAATGACGTCTTAAGAAATATAGAATTACATAAATAACACAATCTGAAATCAGCGCATACACTAGATTTTGCGTGCTGTTAAATGGGCACGTTTGCTAGATTTGGCACGCTGTTAAATGGGCGTGTTTGCTAGATTTGGCCCTTTCGCTCATACATTTTCGCTGCAATTTTTTTACGGCCTTCGCAACGGAATAGTACCAATATTTTGGTTACGTTTTAAAGTCATACTTTATTACTAAAACATACTGCAATGCATATCAAATAGGTTTGAAGATAGATTTACCAGACCCCTGGACGCTAGTGACCATAATTTCACCAATTGATGGTGATCATAATTTCACCATTTAAACACCTTTCCGCATAGTTGAATTTTTGTGTAAGTGCTAGCATGTAGTTATGCTATGAACTGTGTTTTTATATTTCGTTTATTCTCCCGGAAGCACTTCCGCAGAGAACCCGGTAAATGTAAACATCGCCAACTATGACGATAATAATTCAAACCTGGTAACCTAGCGGATTCATCCTATTCGCTTGTTCGAAGGTTGCAAGCATTCCTCTTATTTTGTTGAATTATCATTGTCGTTGTTCGGATTTGGAGATTTATATTATTCTTTTCTGATTTTCCTCGTTATTTTTTCTGAATTTTTTAATAACGAATAGATAGAAATATTTTCGTATAATTAAAGAAGTTTTCGTCCATAGATGCCGGTTCTCGGCTCTTCAGTTCGGGATCAAAGGAAGAAAATATGGCAGGAGGGGTGAATGCTAATTTGCGGGAGGGGTGTGTAGGCAACAATTATTATTGGTCATAATAATTACAACTACTTCTACTAGATAATGACTACTACTTTCACTTCACCTTTAGTTTCAGTTTAGTTTCAGAAGGTTGTCATGCCATAAAATCAGTAAGGAGTTAGTGAGGGCTACAAAGAATAATAAAGATGTTATATATGGAAAATAGTGATTCTTGCTTTTGATTTTTGCTATTTAAATTATTATAAAAAGAACTTAGCAAGCAACCACATACTTGGTGACCTCGGAATTATTGATAAAGATGTCAGAAAGTGAAGAAATCGGCGATTAAAGAAGAAATAGCACGGGTAAGTGTTTAAAATACCTCCTTTTGGCTGAAAAGCCAGAGATATGGTTTTATCAAGTAGAAGCACAGTTTTCTATTTGTGGAATAACTGCCGAGGAAACTAAATTCAACTACTTAGTTATCGCAATTGGAAGCAAAATTTGTAGAAAGTTTATGGGATATTATAAGTGAAAATAGCAAACCAAATATACTGCTGCTAAAGAACGTCTCTTGAACACTTTTAAAGAAAGTGAAATAAACGTTTACAGAGACTGCTAACAGGCATAGACTTAAACAGTAAAACCTAGTCAACTTTTACAAAAAATGCGAAATCTTGCTACCGATGGCATTCGGATAAAGTTCTTAAAACACTATTTCTGCAGAAAATGCCAGATACTGTGCGCAATATTTTAATCGTTAGTGATGAAGATATCGAAAAACTACTCTGATGGCGGATCGTATCATCGAAATGCAACCAAAACAGAACTATACTGTGCCAGCAGTATTGTTTCTCCAGGAACAGATGCTATTGCTGAATTACGACAACAAATTGCAGCTTTGGATAATAAACTCGAAAAACTAACTGTCACAAGAAATTCTCGTTCCTCGCTCATAGAAACAGCAGTCGATCATCTAATGATCGAAGTAAATCTCGCAGCCGTTATAACCCTAATGGCAAGTACTGTTATTTCCACTTTCGTTTTCGGGAAAAGTGTTTTCCTGGTAGATGCAAAGCCCCCTGTGCATGGAAAAACAACTCTCCGGAAAACCGAAAATCAGCAGTCGAATTAGCGGCAGGCTCTGCTGCTGTAAATAAAGAAAATTCCCGTAAATTCCGCTTATTTATCACGGACAAAAATACAGGTTTACATTTTTCTGGTTGACAGTGGAGCAGAAGGTAAGCCTTATTCCTCGTACTTCTAAACACAAACGTATTAGTGACTATAAATTATACGCTGCAAATAAGTACAGAAATCGATACTTTCGGTACAGAAGTTTTAATTCTTGATCTTGGTTTACACCGAGAATTTCAATACCCATTTATTGTAAGCAAAAATTCAGTAAACCCATATTAGGTGCAGATTTTAAAAATAAGTTCAATTTATTGATTGATATAAAGCGTAAAAGGCTAATTGATGGTGTGACGAACCTTGCAGTTTATGGTGACATCGCACCCATCTCTATTCATGAAACTGTAAATACAACGGGCAGCTTATGTAAATATTCTGATTTATTTGCTATGTATCCTAGTATAACAAAACCAAATTTTCTTATTTCTACTGTAAAGCATAATGTGAAACACCATATTATAACTAAAGGACAACCTGTAAGTTGTAAGCAAGACCATTAGACTCTAAACGGTTGGAAATAGCTAAAGAGAATTCAAATATATGCTGACAATAACATCATTAGTCCGTCCAGTTCAGAATGGGCAAGTCCCCTACACATAGTGACAAGAAAGACGGTTCTTTCCGCCCATGTGGGATTACGAAGACTGAATGATTTAAACTGTACCTGATCGTTATCCCATTCCTCGAATTCAAGATTTTTCAACATATTTTAACTCATAAAACTATTTTCTAAAATTGATCTCTTTAAAGCGTATTTTCACATTCCAGTAGCAGATGAAGATAAAGAAAAAACTGCTATTATCACACCTTTTGGTCTTTACCAATTCAATGTCATGAGTTTTGGTCTCAAAAATGCCCCCGCGACCTTTCAGAGGTTCATCAATGAAGTTTTTTATGGCCTAGACTTTGTGTTTCCATATTTGGATGATGTGTTGATTGCCTCTTCCTGCGAGGAAGAACATCGTTTACATCTTAAAACAATTTTCCAGCGTTTAGATAAATATGGTCTCCGAATTAATATTAGCAAATCAGTTTTGGGAGTACCTGTAATAGACTTTTTGGGCTATCAAATATCTGCTGAAGGTTCAAAACCTTTACCTAAAAAAATTAAAGCTATCACAGAATATCCGTTTCCAGAAACTATACACCAACTTCGTTCCTTCTTAGGACTGATCAATTTCTATCGGAATTACATTAAAAATGCCGCAGAAACTCAAGCTCCTCTTCATGAACTTTTGAAAGGATCTACAAAAAGAGATCGACGTACAGTATACTATGGGCCAATGAAACCAGGAAAAAGTTTTGAAAAATGTAAACAAGATATTGTTCAAGTAGCGTTGATTGCTTTCCCCAATTCGGATTACCCTCTGGCACTTCTCACAGATGAATTCCGATTTGGGCTATTGGGTCAGTTATTGAATAAAAAAGAACCAAATGGATGGAAGTCTATTGCATTTTTTCAAAAAGCTTAATGATGCTCAGAAAAATTATAGCGCTTACGATCGCGAGCTTTTGGGTTATATATTTATCCATTAAATACTTGTAAACATTTACTTGAAGGCCTGCGATTTTACTATTTATACGGATCATAAGCCCTTAACGTTTGATTTTAAGCAGAATCATAACAAAGCATCTCCCAGACAACTCAGACAGTTACAATATATCTCACAATTCTCTACTAACCTACGCCATATAAGTGGTCAAAACAATGTGGTTGCAGACAGCCTATCTAGGATTGAGGACATCAATTCACCTTTTGTTGATTTTGACCTGATAGCAGATGCACAAATTAATGATGATGAACTGCAACAGTTGAAATTACATTCCAAATCATTGCATATTAAACAGCACCAATTACCATCAGGAAAACTCTTATATTGCGATACCTCTACTTCTAATATCAGACCATTCATACCTCAAACTTTTCGGATGAAAATATTTAATGCAATTCATGGTTTAGCTCACCCTGGAATCCGAAGTACTGTAAAAGAGATTACTAAAAGATTCATTTGGCCGGATATAAAAAAAGATGTTAAACAGTGGGCCCAAACTTGTATCGATTGTCAGAAAAATAAAAGTAACTAAACATACAAAATCAGAATATCTCAAATATCAAGCACCAGACGAAAGATTTAGTGTTCGTGCACATTGATTTAATTCGGCCTTATTCACCTTTCTAATGGATACACTTATTCTTTGACGTGTATTGATCGGTTTACCTCATGGATGGGAAGTGGTACCGTTATCAAATATCACAGCAGAAAATATAGCAAGAGCCTTTTATGAACATTGGATAACACGATTTGGTGTACCTTCTTGTGTTATTACTGACAGAGGAACTCCATTCATTTCAGAACTGTTTCGAAATTTGGCTTCGCTACGTGGAGTAAAAGTAAACCATACAACATCTTACCATCCTCAGAGTAATGGGAAAATTGAGCGTCTACACCGCACTATTAAAACAGCTATTAGATGTCATAATTCTCTTCATTGGACAGAAACATACAAAGTTCTTATGGGTTTGCGAGCTGCTCTCATGAGGACTGCAAGTATACAGCTGATGGTTTTATGGCAAAACTATTAAATTACCTGGCGAATTCTTTGAAGAATTCAAACATGGCCAATATCTAATGATAATTTTGTAAGTAATCTTCAAAATCAGATAGCGCTCTTAAAAGCTCTGTCAATCCAAATCCAAATGTAAACAAAAGATTTTCATCCCAAAAGATTTGTACACATGCTCGCAGTGTTTCTTGCGGGTTGACAGAGTAAAAAAACCTTTGGACCCCCATATGAAGGACCCTTTTTGGTACTGCAAAGGACCCCGAATATTTTTCTTTATCAATTAAAAATAACAAGTTAGTATCTCTGTGGATAGGTTAAAACCAGCTTATGTGTTACAACCTAATGAACTTTTGTCTCCAACTTCAAAAAGTGATCATACATCTGTGCCAAGTAAGCAAACATCAGTGCCAAGTCAACAACTAGAACAACCTAAAAAATTAACAAGCTATGGAAGACTAGTAAAACTTCCAGTTCGTTTCATTGACGTTATTGACTCTTCTTGAACTTATAACTCTTTCATATTAATTTAAAACTTAATTATGTTTTTTTGTGTACATAATTTCAATTTCTATATTTGTATCAGTGTTTTGTATAGATATTGTATCTCTCTCCCACCATGTTTTCAGAGTAACGTAACTTTGTTACTGGTAGGGGAGTGATGTAGGCAACAATTATTATTGGATAATAACTACAACTACTTCTACTAGATAATGACTACTACTTTCACTTCCTTTAGTTTCAGTTAGTTTCAGAAGGTTTCATGCCATAAAATCAGTAGGAGTTAGTGGGCTACAAAGAATAATAAAGATTATGGAAAAATAGTGATTCTTGCTTTTTGATTTTTGCTATTTAAATTTTAAAACGAACTTAGCAGCACCACGGTGAATGCTAAATAATAAAATGTATAAAGTTTAGTTATTAACAATGTCTGAGAAAATTTGATTACTGTTTACTGAAGGTTATTGTATTGTGAAATATATATGAAAAAGACAGGTATTTGTTCAACGTAAAATGCTTAAGCTGTAAGCAAGTAACTTGAAAAATTATTACTAAAACAATTTATGTAAAATGGGGCACTAAAGGTCATGCATTCATTATTTATTACATGGTATGCTCTCATCGAAATACATCAGTCAACAAGCAAAGTACTTAAAATGAAAAGACACTTGTAATAGAAATTAGTATTCTATATGAATTAGAGAATACATATAAGCATAATAAACTCAATAAGTATAAGAATGCTTATTTTTAAATGAATTTTTACTTCCCGTTATGTTTAATATATTGTTTTCTGTGCTAACTTGAGTTTAATACAAATTTATTTTCATATATCACGTTTAACCGGTTAGTTTTACATCCACATTATTATCTGTGAATTTTTACTATCATATGCTTAATATATTGTTTTGTCTGCTAACTTGAAATTACATGTACTAAAAATCCCGTTTACAAAGTATAACGTTTAGCTCTCGGCTCATCGCGAGCTTGGCGAGTAAAAACGCAACGGCGCCAACGGGTTCTCTGCGGATGAAAACCCATTCTCCCATTTGGTAAGTGCATTTGTTCGTTTATCTTTTCCCGATATTGTAATATGAATTGTTGTTTTCACTCGTGTTGCAAGATTTTCCCTTTCGTTTTTTTCCACTCCAGCAGTCCTATGAGATACTAGTTCATTCATCTTTCAGACTGCTTCTCTGATCTCCGGCTTCTTGGCCACGCCCTTCCTCCTAGCCCCTTTTTCTCCTTCTTGAGATTACCACGTCAAGGACTTTTTTATTATCATTTGCCTTAGAGCTTATTTGGTTTATTTCTATGACAAAGCACCCAAGTGCTATCTGCGTAAGGGGATCGTAAGGACCAAAAATTGCTATCTGATCAATAATTGCTTTCTACTATGTTGTTTCAAGTACAGATATGTAAGTGTTCCACTTTGTGGACTTATGAGTTTTACTAATGAGTACGCTATAGTTTACTATAATTTATGGCGCTAAAATAACTATAATTTATGGCTATAATAACTATAATTATAATTTATAAAAGATAAACTATAATTTATGGCGTCAGACCGTATACTCTCTATCTACTTATATTCACAGGAATCACTTATTATTATCATTAGTGTAATCTTATTATTACTATTTTATTTTACTTTGCATACTCACTTATATTTGTCAACGTAAAGTACTGCCATGAAAACCGATTATTTACGAAGAAAGTAATTCTTTTAAGAATGAAATATAAAAAATATTCCAGTGATTAAAATTGTTGTAGATTGCTTACAAAACCTGCTATTAGATGGCGCCACGAGCAGGCGCTCAAACTTTCGCTACCAGAAAACCGCACTCTCAGTGCCAAATACTTTCCACCTGTTTGGATTTTATTCTTCCGCTTCATAAAGCCCTAGGGACAAATAGAAACTTATATTAAAGGCCGCATGGGCTTTTATACAAATGACGATCTGCGAACAGAATAAGATAGGATGCATAGTTACCAAAGATGGAAAACAACGTAAAATGGCTAACCTAATCTACAGTGATTTTTATCATTGCATGATAATTATTTGTGTATTCAGATGAAGCATTAAGAAGATAAACCAGTTCTTGAGTTGTATGAATATTCTGGGTATTTAAATGATTAAAACATCAAATAGCTGAGAATAACAAGAAGCATATGCTACGATGCATCACCTTTATGTAGATGTCTTCTGCTTCTTTAAAACGGTTGAGCTTTACAAGTACTCGGCCAACATTCAAATACCCTCTGACATCATCTGGTTCTATCCTGAAAAGGAGGAATGTTGTAAGCACTCGATATATAAACATTAATTTTGATTTTACAAAATTTTTCGAACCAATTAAGCAACCTTGTTTTAAAACGTTTACTTTTTTGAATGCATATTTCATTGAAAAGTACTTTTGGAAATACTGAATTATTATTAAACTGAGTTTTAACATTGATAAATGAGTAATTAGTAATCTTTAATTTGTTATCGCTGAAATAATCTCGTTGTTAGTTGATTTAAAATTGAAAATAAAAAAAACAAATAGTCGTAACATAATACACCAGTTTTATGATTACTTTTCCCCCCAAGTTCTAGCATCATTTCAGTTACAGATGATAACATATGTAATTAATATGTTAATGAGTTACGTATTCAAATATACATTATGAAAACAGTTACTTAGATAATAATGAGTGTCATAATTGCTTCTCTTTTATTTACTCAAGATATATTGTATGGCCCAGAATTCTGATGCCCCTCCAGGACACACATTAATACTCGTAATTTCGTACTCGCAATACAGAAGTGGAGGTTTGGTTAGTTTGAAATAAGGCAAAGCCACGAGGGCTATTTACCTAAGATGAGCGGATGCCTTCGGGGGTTTCGCCTTTAATCAAATCCATTCCAGGTCGAACTACCAGTATTCAATTGTCATAACTACAGGGCCACTAATGGGGCTCGCGTGCGGAGAAGCAAACTGGGCACATATATCGTGTGTTTAAAGCCGGAAATATTTTTTTTTTAACTATCAGATGCTTCATTTACCTTATAATTAATGCACTTCAAAAACAAATAATCGCACAGAAATACTGAGATATTATCAATGACAACTGCTTTCTTTGCGATCTGGTTTTTATCTGAATGATTATTTTTTGGTGCTGAGTGTGAAAACTGTAAAATATTGCACTCATCACTTTGGAATGCCCTCATTGAACTGACCACTTTGGAAGGGCTTGATATATGCGGCTTGATGCATACGGATGGTTTGATTTATGCAGACCGAATTTGACATGTTATGCTACACGTAGACAATCGCTTTATTTTCCTTTGCATACATTCTTAGATTCCTATTATTTAATCTGGAATGTTATATACAACTGGAGTTTACAAAGTCTCTTTTTCCAGACTGCTGCTAAATTTTAAAATTATAGTGAAATCAAATTTGTTTTTAATTTTGGGCAGAAAATATTTTTCGGTCCTTAAAAAAAAAATTAGATGCGAACATCGGTTTGAGAGGTTTATTTACAAATCTGTTAAACAGACTTTGTAATCTCCAGTTATATATGACACTCCAGATTAAATAATATGAATCTAAGAATGTATGGAATGTAAGGAAAATAAAGTGATTGTTTACGTGTAGCATAACATGTCAAAGTCAATCTGTATAAATCAAACCGTCCGTATGCATCAAACCGCATATATCAAGCTCTAAAGCCATTCCAGAGTGGTCAGTTCAATGTGAGCCACATAAGGCAAATATATGTTAAACCGTCATTAGATTTGCTAGCCATTTTAAACTGATCATGAAAAGGAACATTTCCGGGAATCTTCGCTTCCAGGATATCTGCTTGATTGACTTACGAGAAAACTACAGGAATAATATATATCAACACCAGACAGAGCTGTAGGTGAAACATTTTCTCAACCTCGTTAAATGTTCTGATTATGTACGCACAATAGATGGTCAACCTCAATTGTTTCGGCTAGAAACGTCCTGTTCAGTGTTGGAAGATGTGCTTTTCATGAAAAGGATTTTTATAGCTCAGCGTGTTGCTGTATATTGCTGCGTGCGTACGAGTTCTTAGCAGATTGAATGCACAAGACCGATAAAAAGTTCATAAAACTTATTCCTATCGCAAGAAATGTAACAAAACGCTGGATTTCTCCTCAAAGATATTCGTACAGTATCACAATATCACGCAGTATTTATATTTTAAACTACTAAAACGTTAAACAGTCGCAGTCCAATGCGCAGAGAAAACTAATCTGATCTTACCGCGAATTAGCTACAACAATTAAGTAAACAACTGAACTGAGATGTTTCTCTCCGACTTTTTAAAGCTTTTTAATCGGCCACGAGAAAGTTCTGGTAATTTCCGTTTTCTCGAGATCTTTGGAAAGCAAAAAAGTAGAATTACGGTTACAGCTAACATAGTAGTCAATTCGTTCAGTTTGAATGTAAATTACGAGATATCTGTTTATAAAATGTTAAATGCCCGTACTCCTGTATTTTTGCTTTTCCGGCGTAGCTTTCTTTTAAAATATGTCTCGTGCTGCACTTCACGGGGATATAAAGCAATTTTAATTAGAATAGTACTAAAAATAGCTAACTAAATACAAAATCCGTAACAATATAATAATTCCTTTAGTAAAACTCGAAACGAAATGATTGCCTGGAAGAAGAATATCGGATAGTAGCTATTTTTAATAAAAATGAAGCCCATAATTATGTATTGACGCTTATGTATTGATTTTTTAAATGGCTTATGTGACCCGATATCTCTTCATTGGTAGCGGACAGATCTAAGATCCCAATTATGGAAAATGATTGTGTAGAGTGGGCTTTCAGATTGCGTATTTCGTAGAGCAGATATTGTCATATGATATGTTTTGACAAAAATGCAGTCACCTTCCGATTAACCGGTTTGTAGACTAAGTCTACAACTCGGTTACTCGGAAAAAGTAATTTTATTATTTCTAAAAAAGTAATTTTATTATTTGCGGGACGATGGAAAAATTATGATTACAAAACAATCAGGGTAAAGAAAAAGTGTAATTGTTACAGGCAGTTTCTTTTTGCATGTTAAGTACGTACAAAAAAGGAAGTAAAAACGTATGGGATAACAGCAGAGTTAACAAATGAGGTTGTAACATTCGGCAGCTGTTTTTATCCACAGAAATTAGTAATTCAACCGTAAGGTTTAAAAAGGTAGCATCGCAAGGTTAAAAAAAAAGCTATAATATTTAAAAACATTTTTTACGCGAGTTTGAACTCAATGAGATATTTAAATGTTCTTTCGCAAATACTGTTCTTAATGCTATTTAAAACTCAGTTTTGTCATGCCTAAATGATGTTCATTCTTTCGCTTTTACAGCGTTTACAGTGTGCACACTTTTTGTTTTTAATACTGATTTAATTCCTTAACTAAAAGAATTTACTATTTAAACAAAACTGCTTGAAAATACATGTAAATTGCTAAGAGTATTTTTCAGTTAAGTATAATATGGATTATTCCTTCTTCCTCTGTTTTTTAAATTCCTACTATTAGTTCCCACTCTTCCTATATTAATATTTCTCACTTGTTCAAATTTTCAATCGTTAATAAAATATTTTTTATTCATCCACTCAAGTTCAAATAAATTTTTTTAAAACTTGTAATGGATGACATTTAATACAGTTTTTCCACATTTTTAATATTTTTAATTAAAAATTTTGTTTGTATTTTTTAAATTTGTCTTTTTTGACCTAAGTCCGAGTTGACTTAAAAATTTTTTTTATTAAATTAATTAATTGCCTGCATCTGGATCGTAATTTTCGCATCTGGTGTCTACTTCGTAGAGTAATTACCAGTAATTAACTTAGCCCTTGAGCACTCATTTTATTTTAAAAATTTCAAAGGTGCACTGCACCGCGTTTTGGGGACGAAAAACAATTAAACAAGTAGCAAGTCAGCAGATCAATCTTACTAAAAGTACTTCAGAGTTCGTAATCAAGAAGATGACTTGGGATTTTTTATGCAATATTTTACAGTTTGAAATACTTGAGTAGGTGCGGCATATTTTACACACATTAAGCAAGCTATGTGAGCGTTCGTTGCTGACTGAGTAAAAGCAGGAGAAACAGATAGTACATCATAAAAGTCACATGACAAAAAGTCAATTTCTAATTGGTTAATTAATTGTGAATCGCTCCACTCAAGTTCAAATACATTTTTTTAAACTTGCAGTGGATGACACTTGATGTAAATACAGTTTTTTTCACATATTTAAAAATGAAATGGCATTTTGCCTTGAATCACCCTAAAAGTCTGAATCACTTTTCAAAATTTTGCCACCAAATATTACCACCCTGTATTATATTTAAAGAAATTAAATAATGAAGAATCTGCATGAATGTATGAATGTTTTCGTATTGTGAAAAAACGACGATTCATAGAGCCATCAAATTTTGATTAACAAACTCAACGATTTCAAAGCGTTTTATTAACATTAACTTCGCGTGCCTCTTTAAGCACGGAGTATTATGTTGGCAGCGTAGCAACGTAAAGACGTTACAATGTAGAACGGTATTTTGCGTCGAATGACTTTGAATGTGTGTGTCACTTCTGAAATCCCATTTTGAACCTCCTCCCCCTTGAAGAAAATGCGCCTTTGGGAGTAATATAAAATCTGAGAACTTTCAGATTGCTTTTTTTATTATTATTTTTAATAAATTTGATTTTATAAGGATGGGCGTTTGTCACTAATTCGACAACGACAGCCATTATCTCATGTTCATTGTTTACATTGTTGAAAGATAAAGCATTGTTATTGAAAGATAAAGCATTGTTATTGAAAGATAAAGCATTGTTGAAAGATAAAGCATTGTTATTGAAAAATAAAGCATTGTTATTGAAAGATACAGCATTGTTGAAAGATAAAGCATTGTTGAAAGATAAAGCATTGTTATTGAAAGATAAAGCATTGTTGAAAGATTCAGCAAAGACTTTAATTTTGCAGATTCAATTATGTCAAACGAAACTTTTCACTATCTGAAAACTTACCTTAATTGATTTATTTCTTACATTGGTTTTATGAACGTGCTACTACTTGTTTAAGCGTTGCTTAGTTGCATAACCATTTTAAAACATTCGAGAAAATAATCACATCGTAGGTTTGAAAAATTTTGTTGTTGTTTGACATCTCTCTTAAGTGTCTTTCAGAATTTCCCACTCGTGTCAAATCCTGAATACAGGATGGCTTTGGGTTTTTCGCTTACCAAAATATGTTTCCTAAAAAGAAAATATAAAACTTCGCATACTCTGTTGCTGTCTTATAATGCTGAAGAGCTTCTTCTTGTCTGTTCAAGTTCTCCAGTACTTGACCCATATTATTATGCAGCTTAGCGTTCCTATGGTTGATAGTTAACGCCGAACTGTAGAGGTTGTAATCAGACTGCCTAAGGAAAGAAAATAGGAGCAATCAGTATTAAAATGGCATATAAAAGATATGTAAACTAGGAATTAAATATTTCCTAAATTCCCCTATTGTTTAATGATAATTTCAAATAAGCTGTAGAGTTATTATTAGTTTAGTTAACCAGTTATTATGGTTTAGATCTTTACTATAACTTTTCCTTTCCGTTTCCTCGCCAGAAATGTAAATCAGTTAAAGAATATTTAAGCTAAGGTTTTTGGGTTGTAAGACAGAATGCGTCTCGAAGCAACGTTACTACGTTTCGCCAACTCTGATAAGATTGCAATTCTTCGGCTTTCGCGATTGCTGTCGAGTTTTAAACTGTTAAGCCTGTGAGAAGTTCTCAACCATTAATCGTGTTTTTGTTCGGGCGCCACTGTAGAGTTTTTTAGAATTTTTCGACATCTGGAAACTGAAGGAATTCGTAAGTACCCCCCCCTCCCTCCAGGATTCAAAATCCAGACCTCCCGAATTCGCGTCGAGCATGTTTTCAGTTACGCCACATAGGTATGCGGAAAGAAGGGAGAACGTATCTTACATACTCGCTCTTTTAAAGGGCAACTGGGGATTAAGAGACTTGGTGGTGACGAATTATCGTACATAACATTTTTTTTTTGGTTCAGGCGCCACTTGTAGAGTCTTTTAGGACTTTTTGATGTCAAGAAACTGAAAAAAATCCACAATGCTGTCGCCGGGATTCGAACTCCAGACCTCTCGAATACGCGCGCAGCGTATTTTTCAGGTACACTACTAAGGCAGGCGGAAAGGAAGAAGAAAATATCTTATAAAGTAATTAATCGATAACGGGTATTTACATCAAGTCTACAATATCCAGCAATAAGAATAAACCTCTATACAGTTTTTTTTTTTTTTTTTTTTGTTCCATTTATGTAAAGGGAAAAATCAACAATATATCTTTCTGAAAATTTCCCATGAAAACATCTGCTTCCTAAATAGGAAATCCCTTTCCTCATTGCCATAATAAATCATCTAATTTCCTGATATTCCCAATCACAGAAGATAAAAGTGATTTACACGAAAACAATGATTTACAACGATTTACCAGAGAACCTTTGATTGCAAAAATGATTTACCAATGATCTACAAGAAAAAAGATTTTCGATTTAATAAAATGTCTACAAAATACATGGATGGGTCTAATGTTGTTGAGACTCATCACATTTCAAGATACTGATGTAGATATAAAACACATTGGGTACATATCAGAGGTAAGTAGGTATATTATGCATATTATCCTATCATATTATGCACATAAGATTCGGCACACAATGGGGCACCACGTGGACATCACAAGAGATCAAGGCGGAAGAATGATAGTGTAATGTTTATAGTTCCATTTGACTTTGCATATCTTATATATTTCGGGCACTATGTATTGTTTGTTTACAGTCATTGAATTGCATTTCTTTTGCAAGTTTTTCTTCCAGAACGTTAAGGAAATAAACGTGACCAAGAACAGAACAATAAGAAGTGTTACGACGCTGGAAACTATCTAGTTTATTATTGGACGATTACTACTGCTAAAGAGAATTTGTAAAGTACCCTTGCAAACATCGAAACCAACCCATGATGTAATTTTCCTCCAGTATCAAATCTACGTTATAATAATGCTAAAAATTCAAATCCATGCTAACCAACAAAAGAAATTTCTCATGATTCCCTGTCCGAGGAAGCAGAGAAAGATTCCGGCCCATATTTTATTGCTCAGCGTTTTTCAAGATTTCAGACTTCAAAAATTTTAGAAACTTTTAAATTGTGCAAGGGTTACTAGCTCACCACGTCAAAAATTACATTAAGTATTAAATTTGATGATTTGTTTAGAAACAGAATCCCAACATTGTATATTTTAGTTCGTATGATGATGATTAGCAGTCAGTAATGACTTTCCTTTTTTTACTTCCTGCAGCTTTCAACAGATGGCGCCACATGCACAGATCAAGATAAAATGAGCTTCGCTTCTTTTTTCTCGAACGTAACCAGTGTCTCTTTTTTTCGACCTTTGATTGCTTTCCGAGAATGCATTTTATGTCTTTATTTCATACTTTAATGCCTAAGAAGGACTATCTGAGGTTATTAGAAAGAGTTATTTATTGTGCAAAGAGCCAGTGAACTCGCTAAAGTACTTAACCAGTTTTACTTTTCGCAGCCGTTGGACGTATAACCAGTACAATAATGTTTTAAATGTCTCAAAGACGGTTTGGCATATTTAAGGAAACCAATTTTGTAAAATTTACAATATCTAACTTTTTACACATTCTTCCAGTCCTTATACTTACATTTAGGAAAATTTTATACTCATTCTTGAAAACAAAACACAAACAGTTTTTTTAACTCCCGCACGACAAATATTAATATAATCATATTTAGAAGTCTGTACACAAATTGAAGAGCGAAAAGTTTGCATATGTACGTAATTAATAATAAAATATCATTCAGAAAAAGGTTTCTGATGTTAAAAGATTACATGATAAGCAATTACACGCAGGATATTTGTGAAAAATATTGCTGAATATAATTTGTTTTTAAAAAAGGAGGTCTTATTCACAAATTCTAACAAAATTCGTAATTCGATACTAATAAGTTATATAAGCATTCACGTTAAACGGCAGGCTTCAGTAATTCAATACGGTTATCCAGCCAAATTCGTAATATTATTTCTGTTAATTGAAAATGAAAAATATTTATACAATAATGAATATTTTAGGATTATCAGATTATGATTCTAAAGTAATAATCAATCAAGTATCAATCAAGTATCAAATCAGATTATGATTCTAAAGTAATAATCTACTTAAATATGAAAGGTTTTTTTTATTTGCTTATGGCAACAATGTTTTTCAAATATTTTTGACTCCTAAGAGTTTTATAATGTATCATTCTTTATTTAATAACTGGTTAAATATATAAAAATATTATGCTGTTAATTTTTCCGATTTTTTTTTCACGTATGGCTCAACTCATCGGTGTGGCTTCATCACAGAGGATGTTGCATAGATTGGACTAAAGAAGGTAGAAGTTACAATGTTAATACACCCGCGAGAAGAGGGGGAAAACATCTGCAATCAAATAAGTCTTACTTGGTTACCAAACTCCCCTGCTGGTTCCAAATGAAATTCATAATCCTGTTTTAAAGTGCATGCAGTTCAATGGAATTATAAAGCTAATTGTGAAAAATTGCAGCATTATTAGCCTCTTGCTCTAAGCACTTATAATCCTTCAACTCTCGGTTCAGCAGGGACAAAATTTACATTTTTCAGATGGCAACGATTTAACATTCTCGTTTTATCAGATGATAAGTAGCTTCACACTGTATTCCCTTGCTTAGCGTGCCAAGTAATTCTTTTGATACTTTCTGCTATAATTGGATGCACCGACATTTTTAAAGCCTCAAGCATCTACTTAACTGTAACCTTGACTACAACGAAGCGCAAAAGGAAAGTCTTCCACACACTAAAAGCGGTCTTTTAGAAAATCCTCTTAAAAGCACGGTTTTCCCTATCACGTGATGGGACTTTTCCCTTTTCACGCTCACCCAACCGTAAAACTTGTCCAGGGGGAGGAGCTGTTATCATCACTACGCAGACGACAACTTTTTACAAGCTCAGCTCTCCTCCCAGGGTGCTTCTGTAAAAGTAGGAAGAAAAGGTTACCAAAAGAATAATTCCTTTATGCTTGTGGAAATCGTCTGAGATCAGCAAATGAAAGCAAAATTGCCACTGTAGCTGTAATGTGTTTGCGGGATTTCGAGAACTAGAACTTAAAACGCCTTTCTAACTTACTAATTAGTCGTTAGTAATGAAACTTATACAAAACACATAACCTCCTTTTTACTTTACTAAATGGTGTCATGCGAAAAAAAAAAGGGTTTGTAAATATTGCTCCTAATGAAATTTTCTCTTCACTTTCAATATATATATATATGTAATGATTGCAAGAAAATGCCGGAACACTGCTAATGCGTAATAGCTATTAGATCCATATTGAAAAGGAAGAATTCTGATTGCGTAGAATGCTAATGTGTTGACTTCGTAGTATCTAAGAAACTTAGCACAGTTTTAATTCCATTTTTATTTGCAATTGATGTTTGTGGCCACAGTTCACTTGGCACTGTCACCAGTTTACATTTTTGATTATTATAGCGATAGCAAGCAAGACAGCGAAATTACATCCTAGCAGGGCAGAGAGCGAAGCTGATTATTTTAAAGTGCGTAGTTATGCAATATGGAAGCACAGGAAGAGAAAAGTTTTGGTTTCCAATTATTACCTCAGAGCGCGCAGCATAGAAGAATAGAAATGACGCAATCGAGAAGTATACGAATTTAGACAGAGAGAGAGAGAGATTAAAGTTTTACGTAGTTTAACTTATAATGGGATTCACAATTGTTTTCTAACGCACACATATATATATATATAAATGATTGAATTCATGTATCTAAGGGAATATATAATTTGCGCGTAACAACACATAAGTTTAACACGTCATTTTAGTACTTGCTACTTCTTAATGTGATTTGGATTGAATTGGATTGGATTATTTAATTATGGCAAAGTACACGAGGGCTATCTGTCTAAATAGAGGGACGCCTTCGTGGAAGGCTTTCTAAGGGAAACTGGCTCGTATACACGTTACACATCTTAATGTGATTTGACCCTCCACCAGTGGCCGACTGTTCAAGACCGCTGAATGCTGGGAGTTTGACTTGTGCTCGATAAAAGGCATATGGACGGCTGCATGGTTCGTGTTTGGGGTTTTCTATGCAATTCGTAGCCTCATATTGGTTTGGAAAATCTATTCACACTCTTACCGTTTATATATTTAAGATACTAAGAATGGTAAGGAGTACATCCAATGAACAGCTTGGAATTTGAAATATTACACATCTTATAGAGATTTCTGATATCGTCGTTTAAATAAACAATATTCTTTTCTTCCTATGGGGTCCAGATTATGGAATGTTACTT